AAAGATTCAATTTGTTTGGCAATATTTAAATGGATTTAAACATCAGTAAAAGAAGTTTTAACTTTTCAATTTGTCTTGGAGAATGTCATGAAGTTTCCTGGAACCATAAACAAGCATACAGAGAATTCTGGCACAGTATATTTTTTTGCAGAAAATGAGGAATCCCATGAAGAAATACTACACTATTTACACAACTCCTGGAATGTTTTTAAATTAACTTCAGCTGTGGAGATGGCAATTTTCTGATTAATTTGATCAATGTAGACAGCAAGCTGTATAATGCATTTAACTTTACTCCCCTACGTTAAAACGTCCCTGCCTGAGGACCAGGTTCCCTTTCCCTGGGCCTTCTATGTGCCAAACATAAGAAGAGATGAGAAATGAGAGAGGGAGAGAGAGAGAGAGGAGAGAGGGAGGGAGGGAGGGAGAGAGGGAGAGAGGGAGGGAGGGAGGGAAGGAGGGAGGGAGGGAGGGAGGGAGGGAGAGAGAGAGTGAGTGAGAAGTTGGCCATCCCAGCTAGACCTCCCAAGGTAGCAGAGGGCAGTGGATATTGGTGAAATCATTTCAATCGAGATCAGAAATTCTTTTTTCATAAACTCCTTTTTATTGATGACCCCATGGGGTTGGGTCAGTCCAGCCAAATGCATAAAAGCTCTCTATACTCAGACATCTGTTAAATTTCAATGATTGATATTATGCCTTAACCATGTATCTTTGATAATGCCAGAATGCACTGGTCCAATTTTATACATTTAAAAAATACATGCTTCAGTAAATATGGAACTAAATGCAGTTCATATTGATAATTTGTAAGGTGTACTTTTTTGTATGAATGGATTCACATATAAAGAACATAATCATGTGTACAAGACTTCAGGAAAAGAAATGACTCTTGAAATACTACTGTGTTGATCATGGTAGGCTAACTTCTGCATCAGACTGTCTCCAAAGCTCAGTGGTTGAACACTGCCAAAGTTTCTTTCTTTGTCTGCCTTGAAGCCCAAGGCATGTTTAAAAGATGGCTGCATGCCTTCACATGGAGCCAGGCTCCATCCATCTTGAGAGTCACCATCTTCCTCCAGGTCCACAGAATCCTCTTTCGTCAGTGAGTTGATGGTAAATAAGCAGCTCCAGGATTCTCTTGGGAGTCGCTGTGAGCAGGCTTGGAAGTGATCTACCCACATTCCACTGGCCAAACCCAGTCCAATGGCCCCAACTAGCTGGCTGGCTGGCTGGGAAGTCTAGTGTAGCTCTGTGTCCAGGAGACACAGAAGCAGCCCAATGAGCACTTAACCATCTCTTCCACCGCCGTTAAATTGCAACATACGGAGTTAAAACCTTTTGGCCATTTTTAACTTTTAAAAAATGGTAGTTTCATGTAGTTGAACCTAATAGTTTAAGGCCCTTATCCAGAATACTCACAACCAGATATTAGAGTAAAATAATTGAATTAGTGATGGGAAAGATCGTGAGTGGACATGATATTCGAGCAAAGGTGGGAAGGAGAGGCTGCTGAGAAAGTAATTGGAAACATTTGCTAACATTAACATGGAATGACATGTGAAAATCATGTAGAAACTAAATGTTCAAGCTTTTTAGCAGATGTTTAAACTTTTCAAAATGTTTATTTTTTCCATCACCATTTATCTCTTCCACTTCTACCCACCCTCCCTAATCCCTACAATCACCACACTGTTGTACATGTCTAAGACTTTCTCTCTCTCCCTCTCTCTCTCTCCCCCCCTCTCTCCCCCTCTCCCTCTCTCTCCCTCTCTCCCTCTTCCCTCTCTCCCTCTCTCCTTCTCTCTCTCCCTCCCTCCTTCCCTCCCTCCCTCCGTCCCTCCCTCTCTCTCTCTCGTTTTTAAAATATTTTATAAGTTTGTGTGCCCTGCTATTATTGTCAATATCATGCTTGCCTATTTCTTCCCCTCAAAAATATTGTTTCAATTTAAACAGAAACAATTAGTCATTTATTTTCTTTTTATTTGTAGTTTTAAACAGCAGCTTATGTGCATTAAAAGAAAGCTGGCAAGCATAAAATGCAGAGCTGGATTCTTGGGGTAATAAATCAATTTCCTCTGGCATCTTTTTAAACCAGCAAGTAATTAGTAGCATTTCTGTCCAGGAGTGATTCCCCCCCTTTTAAACTAATTTTCCATTCTCATGACCAGATGTAGAATTTGATGACCAAACCAGTAAAATCCCATTTGTAGCTGTTTGTTTGAAGCCATCTCTCAAAGCTGAGTGAATTCATGGATGGCACGCCCATTCCATCCATTCATTAAAAGGCATGTGGCTCATTTATGGACTCGCATGGTTCTCTCATGGTTTTTCTTTCCCTGTTGTTTGAAGCTGCTCAGTCGTCTTTGGAAAATATGCACAGAGCGTGCCGCTGCATCCATAGTGTAGCTGGAGGCTGATTTGAATAGTTGCCTGAACATCAGAATCCATTTTCTAGTCCTAATCATCAGTAGATTCTTAGCTGTTTTCATTTTTTAAACAAATGAGACTAAGGCTAGATTTAATGTCCAGTTTCGGATTTTTCTAAGAGAGTTTGAATTCTAAGATGCACTTGTCACTGAGAAAGGGATTTCTTCCAGTGCCTAAGAAATCTTACTTTATTAACACGTTTTGGATGGCCCAAAGATTACTCAGTAACATTTTGGAGAGTTTTACAAGTGAAAATATCACTTGTAAAACTCTCCAAAATGTCAAAAAACGATGGCTTGGGATAAATGACTACAACTCAGATTTCTGTGTCACCTTTTCACCTCCAGGCAAGCATGTGAAAGCAATAAAACTCAAGAAAGATGATGTCTCTGGAGAGTTGTGGTAATGTGCAAGCAGTATATGAATTTCATCTTCTGAGAATTTTCTCCTGTTAGTTAATCTCAGGCAGAATTCTGCATAAGTCAAAAGTGATTGATTTTACCCAACACAAATGAAATGGGTTTGACCACCTGTGCAGGGGTCCCTGGGCTCTTTCACCAAAGTTTCTACTTAGACTTTTGGAAAAATACCATATTTCAACAAATTGCAATTTGTTTTTGTGATATTTTGCATCTAACAGTTTTAGTAAGCTTGTTAGAGCTTATCAAGTTCACCAAGGTTCTAAGATGGCTGGCCTGTGTTTTGTCAAATCTTTGATATTTCTTTCTGCTGAAATCCTTCCATAACTCTCCAGAGCTTTCAATATGGACAGACTGTTTGACATGGACACAGGTCTTTTCTTTCTGGCCCCTGCTAATCTCCATGCCCCTTCTCCATCCTATTTATTCTCTCTGCTTCCTCTCCCACTTCCCTAGTGCAAACACACTACTTTCTATTCTCAAGTCTATAGGCCACCAACTTGTGTTCTTAGTGGCTCCATCCTTGACACAGGCTATTTTCTCTGCCTGAAACACCTTCCCCAGTAAATAGATTCCTCTCTGGTACTTGGGTAAGTTCCACCAGTCACCAGAATTCTTATCAGGCCCTATTTCCTCTAGAAAAGCCCCAGATGCAGGCATTCCTGGGGTCAAGGGACCTTGGCTTCATGCAAGAAATAATTCAAATACAAGTAAGAATAGAATTTAAAGTGAAAGAGAGTTTATTAGTGAAGCAGTGAGAATGGCTACTTTATCTATAGAGCATACCCTCCCTAGTGGAATCACTTCTTTCTTTGAAGTTCATTTAATCGGGTGGGAAAGGGGTGGAGATTTCTGGTAAGAACCTCAGCAACCACATTGTGTCCTTATATAGGCTTCAGGCAGCTGCAGGGTGTTTCAGTTAGCATACAAATGTATTACAATGGAATATAAGGAGGTTAGGGGTCACCATAAGGGACAAAAAAAAAAAAGGACACTGAATAGATGCAGCAATCTTAAGAAGAAAGAACAAAATACCAGATAACAAGCTATACCACAAAGCCACTGTAATCAAAACTGCCTGGTACTGGCACAAGAAGTGGTATATAGATCAATGAAACAGAACAGAGACTCCAGAAATCAACCCAAGCCATTATGTTCAGTTAATATTTGGCAAAGGAGGCAAGAGCATGCAATGGAATCAAAACAATCTCTTCAATAAATGGTTCTGGGAAAATTGGATAGGTTCATGCAAAAAAAAAAAATCGAATCTAGACCATCAACTTACACCATACACAAGAATAAATTCAAAATGGATAAAAAACTTAAATGTAAGTTGTGAAACCATAAAAATTCTAGAAGATACCATAAGTAGCAAAATCTCAGACACTTCTCATTGCAATATGTTTACCAATACATCTCCTAGAGCAAGGGAAACTAAGGAGAAAAAAAATAAATTGGACTACATCAAACTAAATAGCTTCTGTCTAACAAAAGAAACCATAAACAAAATGAAAAGGGAGCCCACTGTATGGGAGAGCATATTTGGCAATGACACATCTGATAAAGTGTTCATATCCAGAATATATAAGGAACTCAAACAACAAAAGGAAGACAAACAATCCAATTTAAAAATGGGCAAAGTACCTAAATAGACAGTTCTCCAAAGTGGACATACAGATGGCCAAGAGATATGAAAACATGCTCAAAGTTACTAATCATCAGAGAGATGCAAATTAAAACAACAGTGAGGTACCATCTCACACCTGTCAGAATGGCTACCATCAACAAATAACAAGTGCTGGTGACGACGTAGAGAAAAGGGAACCCTAGTACACTGCTGTTGGGAATACAGACTGGTGACCACTATGGAAAACAGGATGGCGTTTCCTCAAAAAATTAAAAATGGACCCACCTGGCATGGCTCAGTGGTTGAGCATCAACCTATGAACCAGGAAGTCACGGTTCAATTCCCGGTTAGGGCATCCTACAATGCACAGACTGGCCACACTGAATTCCGGTTTTCAAAGTCCAATGGGCAGATTTGTTGAAATTAACCAGGTAACTGACATCTCTGTGTTCATTTGGTAGCAGGGAAGGGTCTCTGCGCTCTTTCTGTTTTCTCAGTACTAACATGTGGCTCTTTGTCTGCAGTCCAAGGGGTCACGGGTTGGCGGCCCTCCAGCCCGGGCTCTGTCGCTATGGAACCAAACTGGCCTGCTGCTATGGCTGGAGAAGGGGCAGCAAAGGAGACTGTGAAGGTAACTTTGTAAAAACTCAGGCTACCATGTACTCAAGCAGTAGCTCAGGGTCATTGGGTTTTTATTATTAATTATCATTATTATATTTTAATTCATTTCAGAGAGGAAAGGACTGAAAGGTCATGAGTTCGATTCCGGTAAAGGGCATGTACCTTGGTTGCAGGCACATACCCAGTGGGGAGTGTGCAGGAGGCACCTGGTTGATGTTTCTCTCTCATTGATGTTTCTAACTCTCTATCCCTCTTCTTCTCTGTAAAAAAATCAATTATATATATATATATTTTTTTTTTTAAACTTTCCAGTGTTAAAGAGGAAAATGTACCAGAGAAAAAGCAGATCATCCTCTAAATGTCCCCACGGATTTCTCTGCTATAGACAAGGCGGCTGAGTCTGACATGCATACATTTCACTGTGCTAACTACTGTTGTTGTTTTTGTTTGTTTGTTTTATTTTGTTTTTATCCTTAAAACACTTCTCTTTCTACAGCTACATGTGAAGCTGGCTGCAAGTTTGGTGAGTGTGTGGGACCAAATAAATGTAGATGCTTCCCAGGATACACCGGGAAAACCTGCAGTCAAGGTCAGTGGGACAGACCAGGTCCCAGTCCAAACCTACCTCAGGTCTTTCACAAGCATTCTCATCATTGCAGTGGGATTTGTGGCATGATATAGTCCTCAGGATTTAACTCCGATCTTCAAATTAAAGTGGTCTCAGGCCGTAGCCAGTTTTGCTCAGTGGATAGAGCATTGGCCTGCAGACTGAAGGGTCCCAGGTTGAATTCCGGTCAAGGGCACGTGCCTGGGCTGCAGGCTCGATCCCCAGTTCGGGGCGTGCAGGAGGCAGCTTATGGATGATTCTCATTCTCTCCCTCTCCCTTCTTCTCTCTGTCTCTAAAATTAATAAAAACATGTGTGGTTTTTTTTTTTAAAAAAAAGTTAGTGTCCAGCCTTGGCCAGTATGGCTCAGTTGGTTGAGCATCGGCCCATGCACCAAAAGGTTGCCAGTTCAATTCCTGGCCAGGGCACATGCCTGGCTTGCAGTCTCCATCCCTGGCAAGAGGCTTGCAGGAGGCAACCGGTTGACGTTTCGCTCTCACATACACTGAAGTGACCAGATTATTATGATCTCTGAACGCATAATAATCTGGTCACTCAGTGTGCGTGCGTGCGTGCGTGCGTGTGTGTGTGTGTGTGTGTGTGTGTTAGAGGCCCAGTGTATGAATTCGTGCATGGGTGGGGTCTGGCCAGCCTGGCCAGGGGGAGGGGACATGGGTGGTTGGCTGGCCTGCCTGCTGGTCGAACTCCTGGTCAAGGGGACAATTTGCATATTAGCCTGTTATTCTATAGGATATACACTGAGTGGCCAGATGATTATGCGTTTAGAGATCATTATAATCTGACCACTCAGTTTAGATATTTCTCTCTCTCCCTCTCCCTTCCTCTCTTTCTAAAAATCAATAAAAATATATTTTTTAAAGTGAGTGTCCACCCCCAGTCTCTACTCTTGCCATAGTTAAGTTTGCAGACCACTGAACTAGGACATCAGAAAAATCCCGATGTGCCCTAGCTGGTCTGGCTCAGTGGCTAGACCGTCAGTCTGTGGACTGAATGGTTCCCAGGTTCGTTTCGGGTCAAGGACACATGCCAGGGTTGCAGGCTCCATGCTCAGTAGGGGGCGTGCAGGGGGCAACCGATCAGTGATTCTCATCATTGACATTTCTATCTCTCTTTTCCTCTCTGAAATAAAACAAAGAAAGAAAACCCCCATGTAAGGTTCTTTTTAAAAATATATATTTTATTGATTTTTTACAGAGAGAGGAAGGGAGAGGGAGAGTTAGAATCATCGATCAGCTGCCTCCTACACAACTCCCACCTGGGATGTGCCTGCAACCAAGGCACATGCCTTTGACCAGAATCGAACCTGGGACCCTTGAGATAATCATTGATCGGCTGCCTCCTGCATGGCCCACACCGGGGATCGAGCTCACAATCTGGGATGTACCCTTGACCGGAAATCAAACCGTGACTTCCTGGTTCAACCACTGAGCCATACCAGCTGGGCAGCTTATTCATTCTTAATGTTCAGAATTCTTTTAGTAAACACTGAAAAGCACAGAAAAGCAAGTCACCCTCAGTCTCACCATCAGGAGATAATCATCATTAGCATTTGAGCGCAGCCTCCCAAGCCTTTTTTTTAATGCATTTTTATTTTACATATATATATATATATATATATATATATATATATATATATATATATTTGTTTTGTTAACCTTCACTTGAGGATATTTTTCCATTGATTTTTAGAGAGAGTGGAAGGGAGAGGGAGAGACAGAGAAACATCGATGTGAGAGAGATACATCGATTGATTGCCCTCCCGCATACACCAACCATGGCTTGGGATCGCGCCTGCAACCAAGGTACATGCCCTTGACTGGAATTGAACCCAGGTCCCTTCAATCCACGAGCTAATGTTCTATCCACTGAGCCAAACTGGCTTGGGTTTATATTATATTTCTTACAAGTTTGGTATTGATCTTTATAGGTGGTTTTGCAATCTCCTGTTCTCATTTAACAACATTCACTGAACATCTTTGCATTACCCAGTTTCACATCTGGATGTTTCTGGATTCAGGCAACCTTTCTCGTGTTCTAACCACCCCCTGCAGATGTGAATGAGTGTGGAGAGAAACCCAGGCCATGCCAACACAGATGTGTGAACACACACGGAAGCTACAAGTGCTTTTGCCTGAGTGGTCACATGCTCATGCCGGATGCCACATGTGCCAGTAAGTGTCAACCGCCAGGCTGCTGTCAGTCAACCTTTGAGGCTTAACTTTTGCCATTTGATGCTTGGAGGAAAGTTGACTTGAGTGATTTAAAAGCAAACAAAACAAAAAATCAGAAAAAAATCTCTAACATTGCCCCAGGCAAAAACATCTTTGAGTACTTTTTTTTTTTTTCAAATATTTTATTTTATTTTATTTTATTGATTTTTTACAGAGAGGAGGAGAGAGGGATAGAGAGCTAGAAATGTCGATGAGAGAGAAACATCGACCAGCTGCCTCTTGCACACCCCCTACCGGGGATGTGCCTGCAACTCAGGTACATGCCCTTGACCGGAATCGAACCCAGGACCTTTCAGTCCGCAGACCGACGCTCTACCACTGAGCCAAACCGGTTTCGGCTGAGTACTTTTTTTTTAATTGTGGTAAAATATAAATGACATAGAATGCACCGTTTAACCATTTTAAGTGTATGGGTTAGTGGCATTTTATATATTCACAATATTGTTTAACTGTCACCACTAAAATCAGAACATATTCACCCCAAAATGGAAACCATCCTTAATAGCAATCACCCCCATTCCGCAGACAATGGCACATCTGCTTTCTGTCTCTATGGATGTGGATACTAAATAAAAAGAGTAGCTGAAGAACAAAATAATTCCTGTATCTCTGTATATACAGGGATGTATTGGGTTTCTTCACGAAAATAAACATGTTGGCTAGAATAAGCATATTGTTTCAGGAAGGTGATAAATTTAAATTCCATCTTGGGATATCAATCCCACCAACTACCTTTCTCACGCCCTTTGCCCCAGGCTCAAAGATGAGTGACTCTTGTTGCAAATACACTCTGGCTCACATTCCTGGAAAGAAAAGCCCTTCTGTGATGGAGAGAAACCCAGGTCTTGTGGGAGGGTGAGAGTCTGTATCCATTCATTTACTGAGAAGGAGAGCTTTTCAGAGAGATGTTGCAGCTGAAAGGTAAACCCATCCTTCTGGCCTGCCTCCCATCCTCCCTCCCTCCCCTCTCCCCATTTCTCTTTCTACTGCCCCGCAGCCCCCAACAAGCCTGGAGCCTGTGCCTCGTGCCAGCTTCCTCTGGTGGCAGAGTCTGGGGACTCCCCAGCCGGTCCTAGGCTTTCCTGCTGTTGTAAATTTTTTATTGATTTTTTTTTTTTACAGAGATGAGGGGAGAGAGATAGAGAGTTAGAAATATCAATGAGAGGGAAACATCGATCAGCTGCCTCCTGCACACCCCCCACTGGGGACGAGCCCACAACCAAGGTACATGCCCTTGACTGGAATCGAACCTGGGACCTTTCAGTCCGCAGGCCAACGCTCTATCCACTGAGCCAAACCGGTTTCGGCTGTTGTAAAAAGTTGGCTACTGCACGGCTCACTGGCTCCCCTGGCTTACTCATGGACTGTCCCTCCTTGGCAAAGTGCCCCAACACCACCACTCATCTAGATCCTTCATTAGCCAGCAAGCTGAAGAGATGGAGCAGGCATTCAGAGGCTTTTAAAAAATCCTCACTAGCCCTGACCAGTTTGGCTCAGTGGATAGAGTGTCAGCCTGTGGACTGAAGGGTCCCAGGTTCGATTCTGGTCAAAGGCATGTACCTTGGTTACGGGCACATCCCCAATAGGAGGTGTGCAGGAGGCAGCTGATTGATGTTTCTAACTCTCTATCCCTGTCCCTTCCTCTCTGTAAAAAATCAATTAAATATATATTTTAAAAATCCTTACTATTATAAGTTAAACAGAAACCCACCAGAGACAAATACATGGCTTAATGAATTTTTATATGGTGAGCACCCATGTAACTACTACCAAATAGAACTTTGCCGGAACCACCTCCCCCCACCCTCATGGGAGCCACTAGTTGGGCTTTTATAGTAATCACTTAACATTTCTGAAAAGATATTTGCCAATGGATGTTTCTAAAACATTCCATGAAGGCCCGGGCAGTGCCAAAAAAGATAACTTTCTCCAAATGGAAAGATAGAATTAGATAACTTTGAAGATTAATTTTAAAAGACGACAACTAAAGAGAAGGAAGAGTAAACTAGAGATACAGCCATCCATAGGTGTTTGTGACATTACCTCGGCCTGTGTATCTGGCCCTGCCCCCTCTTTGTCTGTTTCTATGTATGTAAAGGCTGCCTGGGCCTCTCTGTTTATAGCTCAGAGTGTCCGGGGGGCCTGGACTGCTCTCCTGGATGCTGATTGTATTGCACCTGGCTCCTTGCAGTCTCTGGTGCAGCTGGTGATTGGCATGGATGGGTGAGTGAAGGGAGTATATTCGCCAGGCTCGCCTGTGGTAGAAGCTTATGAACCCCACATACTCGGCTCCTGCTGAGCAAATGCATTTTTGTGAGATAAGTTATGTTTAGCAATGAGCGACAAGCAAACCCAGCTAAGTCATCTTATTTGCTAAAATAGCCGAAGGCAGGCAGCTTCACAGCTGCTCAACAAGAACTGAGTCTCTGCCATCCTCAGGGTATCAATTTCATTCTCATACCTGTTGCCTCCGAGTCACAATATGGCTGCCACAGCTCCAGACATCACACATGCATTTAAGGGAGGCAAGACAAAGGGGAAAGGAGTGATGCCAGTGAATGACACCTCTGTCATGACTGTCCCTTTTACTGTGCAGCAGCATCTTTTCCAGAAACCCCACTCCCTCCAGCAGACTCATCTGTGTATCTCCTTGGCCACAACTGGGTGACATGGTCACTCCTCTTTGCTGCAAGGGAAACTGGGAAAAGACAAGTATCTGGCTTCTCAGCTTCATTGATCCTATATAATAAAGATGTAATATGCAAATGGTCGTTATGCCATGAAGTGTGCGTGAAGTGTAATGACCAACCACATAACAATAGGATCATGGATCAGCAGGAGGGTGGGGCAGCGAGCTACAAGCAGGCAACAGAGAGCTACGGGAGGGGGCAGGGCAGTATGGAAAAGTGGAGGGAGCTATAGGAGGGCAGAGCAGCAGGTGGAGAGCTACTGGAGGGCAGCAGAGAGCTACTGGCGAGCTACTGGCACACGGATTCGTGCGCAGGGCTACTAGTGTTAATATAAAGCCACATGCTTTAAAACTGGTACCTAAAAGACCAAGTCTCATATCTCAAGTGACTCTCTCATTGAGACGAGACATGCATGGAGAGCTGTTTAGAATGGTTTCTTCTAATTACTCAGATTGATCACCTGCATCGGAGGTTGCATTTCAACCCTGTAGAGAGCAGCCAGGTCACATAAAGGTGTGATTAGAGCTCAGGCAGGAGGAGAGGCAGATGCAGGCTGGTAACTGAGGGATGCATGTCCTACCCAAAGACAGTCAAATTCAAGACATTGGCCATCAAAACAGACCACGTGGCCACCAAGGCACTGCTGTGCCCAGATTCCATTTGGGTCTCAAACAATGAAGTTTATCCTATAACTAGAGGCCCAGTGCATGAAATTCATGCGAGGGTAGAGTCCCTATTGGCTGCCAGCTAGGGTCTCCCTTCCCCGGCTGCTGGCTGCTGGCCAGGGCCTTCCTTCATTCCGTACTGCCCCCTGGTGGTCAGCACACATCATAGCGAACAATGGAACTCCCGGTGGTTGAATGCCCAAGGGGATACTTTGCATATTAGGCTTTTACATATATAGATTCCATTTCACGTGTTACATGTAACATCCCAGAACTCAGAGGTGGTTTCTCAGTAAGCACTATTTAGCATCTCGGGAGGAGGCTCATCCTTGCCTATTTTTCCAGACTCGAGGACATGTGCCATGACATACTGCCAGTACAGCTGTGAAGACACGGAGGAAGGACCACAGTGTCTGTGTCCATCCTCGGGACTCCACCTGGCCCCAAATGGAAGAATTTGCATTGGTAAGGCAGCAGGCATCACCTCCACGCCCTGTCCCCTGTCCTTGACCAATCCCTTTATTCAGTTCCTCCTTTTTCTATTTTTTTTAACTTTAAATATATATGTACACTGAATGACCAGATTATTATGATCTCTGAATGCATAAAAATCTGGCCACTCAGTGTGTGTGTGTGTGTATGTATATACATAGGTCGACACTCTACTATTGAGCCACACCAGCCGGGCTTGACCCACAATTTGTGTATAAGTCTATTCTTAGGAAACCACATATCTATGATTTGTGTCAGTATTTCAGGACTTCAAAAATTGTATGCTATGCAGTTTACGGAGCGGAAAAAATATTAGTCCACTCAGCAAACATTTATTGTGCGTGTACGTGCACGTGCACGTGTGTATTTCAGAGGGAGAGTGTTTTCTTGCTGTCACTGACACCTCCTGGTTCTCCATCCTAGATATCGATGAATGTGCTTCTGGCGAAGCTGTCTGCCCCTACAATCGGAGATGTGTGAACACATTTGGAAGCTACTACTGCAAATGTCATGTTGGTTTTGAACTGAAATATATCGGTGGCCGGTATGACTGTGTAGGTAAGGTCTGGTGGCACCTTTTTCCTTTTCCCTGTCCCCACCAAACATGGAGGCTTTCTCTACAACTATTTCAATTCAGTCTATTAGTTGAATAATCTAGGGTACCGACCAGGTGAATGACAGAAACAGTTACATTTTTTACAAGTCTGGCATTTAGGGAACTCTGACACCATGAATTATAGGAAGTCAGGTCAGTAAAGATTTAAACTTAAGCAACTTCAGTCTGGATAGCTCTGTTATGGGGGCAAATATCTTGAGATAAGTTTTGTGGCATTTAAAAAAAATATATAAAATATGTTTTTACTAGAGGCCTGGTACATGAATTTGTGCAAGGGTGGGGGTCCTTTGGCCTGGCTGGCAATTGGGGCCGATTGGGGCAGCCAGCCGGCCAGGGGAGGGACCATGGGAAGTTGGCTATGAAAGTGCACTGACCCCCAGGGGGCAACTCCTGCATTGAGCGTCTGCCCCCTGGTGGTGGTCAGTACGCATCATAGCTACTGTCTGGTCACTTAGGCTTTTATATATACATATATATATATATATATATATATATATATATATATATATATGATTGATTTCAAGAGAGAGAAAAGGAGAGGAAGACGGAGATAGAAACATCAATGATGAGAGAGAATCATCCATCAGCTACCTCCTGCACGCCCCCTACTGGGGATAGAGCCCACAACAAAAGCATAGCTAGAAAGCGGGCAGAGAAGTGGGCTAATGCACTTCTCTCCTGGGTGGAATTTGGTTAGCTTTCCTAGTCTAAATCCAACAGGCTAGCTCAGACCAGCCTGACCTTGCTCCTGGCAGTCTGCAGTCTTTGAACAAAATGCCTGTATATGCAGATGGTGTCAATGGTCCCTGGACAGTCTCGTCCTTTGTTAGTTAGGAGTTCCAAACACTTCCCTGTATAGAATGTATTTCCTGATATTGTGATTTAGTTCTAAATTAGACATATGGGACAGTGAAGAAAACAACCTACACATCTTACAGATTTCAGCAGGATTGATAAGCAGATGAGATTGCTGGGGTGGTGAGCTACAGACACACTCCCTACCTACCAGGTGTCAGGCAAGCTGGGGCTCCGGGCCAACGCACTGGTGGTTACGAACACCTCACAGTTCTGTGGCCACACTTGGTTTGTTGGCAATGTTGATGGTTGGCCCAAGATGGTAGTCTTTCAGCATGCCCTGTTACTACAAGCTTGTTCACGTTTTTAGATATAAATGAATGTGCTGTAAATACCCATACGTGCAGCCTCCACGCCAATTGCCTTAATACCCAAGGATCCTTCAAGTGCAAGTGCAAGCAGGGATATAAAGGCAGTGGACTTCAGTGTTCTGGTAAGTAGCATTTGGTCATGGTGTCTTTGCTCTTCCGATGAAGCATTCTCCATGTCTCCTTCCTTCCTTCATCTGTTAGCCTGCAGTGTTTGAAAATTTAACTCAGTCTCAACCTTGTCTTCTCTGCTAATCACACCACATCTCTAATACTCCAATACTGAAGTTGTAGGCACTATATTTATTTATCTTTTTATTTTTTTATTTTTTAGTATATATTTTTATTGATTTCAGAGAGGAAGGGAGAGGGAGAGAGATAGAAACATCAACGATGAGAGAGAATCATGGATCTGCTGCCTTCTGCACACCACACACTAGAGATCCAGCCTGCAACCTGGGCATGTGTGCTGACCGGGAATCAACCCATGACCTCCTGGTTCATAGGTCGACGCTCAACCATTGAGCCATGCAAGCTTGGGGCAAAGTGGGTATATACAGAAATCTCAAATCTCCCCCAGAGAAATTGCCAACTTCATCTACAGAAGACTGTCTGTGAATCTAAAATCCCTGGAATTCCCTGTTTTTATGTCTGAGATCCCCCAATGTGTCCAAGGCCCTCCTACCGCTACTTCCTCCCACACTTTTATATTCTCGAGAAGATGATGCAATAATCAGGAAATTGTAACGCGAACAAAATCAGTTATGTCATATTTGAAACAGCAATACTCAGGTAAAGCCATATCTATCTATTCATGGTCATGCCTATGCAAGGGTTTCTTATCCTTGCCCCAGCTTCCTCTTAACATACTAAGGGAATGAAATTGTTGGCACCACCAAGTTCTTATGGCTTGATTTTTTCTTTCCAAAAGGAAAAAATCAAAGCTTCAAAGCAGGAACTGAAAGCAGATGTTTCAGTTTGCCTGGTGTAGGTTGCAATCCTCTCCTCATTATTTTTAAAGGTCCTTAGTTTTACGTGACTGATTGCATAAAGGAAATTTCCAGGGAATGGGTATTTCCTGTTAATCTTCATGCTGGATGCTGGGAAAAGATTCAGGGAACCATGCGTAGAATTACACAGGGGGGCCTCCAGGGGAAGGTCTATATCTGATCAGCATATTACAATAAAAACTTAGCTTGCGACTTCCGGCAAAGAAGTCAAAACAGGCCCTCTGAAGGTCAGGAGAATGAGTAATGATGCCTTACTTGTATTAGTAGTAGTTGATTTGGAATCTATAACGATAGGCTGTCACATTGGTAAATAACTAGAACATTTCATTGAATAGGGAAATGTAGCTCATATTATAACAGCCTTAGATTGATTTCAAAGTAAAAGCAATGTATTAATTAAGAGCATGCATATTTTCAAAGCATTTTTTCTTTCTCCTTTTGATTGCCCAAAAATATTGTGGACTTCATGTTTATTTTTCTACCACTTTGATACAGAGTGAATCAATCAAGTAATGGAGAAGGAATTGAACAGAAGAGATTAAAACATTGCCAAGGAAAATGTTATTTCCAATTTCTTGGATAGTATTCTTTTCAGGGACCAAAGTTGATGTCTACTCCCTTATTTCATTTTCCTCTAAACTACATCCAAGTAGTAGAATTGAATAAATTGGTTCAGCTGTTATTAGTTTTAGACCAGCACATACCTAGATGTTTTATAAAAGGACAATATATTTTATTTTAAAGATCGGTGTTTTTAATTTTTTTAGTGTCTTTAATTTTTTAAAAATATTTTTATTTATTTCACTTTAAAGGGAGCCTCCTGGACACCCCACACTGGGGATCGAGCCAGAAACCCGGGCATGTACCCTAACTGGGAATCGAACTGTGATCTCCTAGTTCATAGGTCGATGCTTATCCACTGAGCCATACTGGCTGGGCAGTGTTTTTAATTTTTAAAAATTACTTTTTCTTACATTAGTTGGATATCTTTAATTACTATGAGTAGATCCCTGAAAAGGAGGCATGCATCTTTAGGTTCTAGATTTCAAGGCATTTGAACCAGTGTAGAGAAAAGTAACCCTTAACCCTAGAGTAGGAATAAAGCTGTCATGGAAATAGGCTGGGGGGAAAAAAACCTCATCTGCTTCACCCTCAAATCCTAGCCCCTTTGTATCTGAGAGACTTTGGGCAAGTCACTTAACATGACCTAGTTGACTCATCTATCAATCAAAGTTGTTGGGCTAAATGATCTTTTTTTCTATCTCTTGAGTTATTCATTGATCCACTGGGGGCATGAGGAATCAATCTAGAGGTACATTTTTAAAAACAATTTAACCTAGTGGTGAGAAATAAGAAATGAATGTAAAACAGCAAATGTAAAAGCCTCTATAAGTATTCAATAAATAAAATTATTTCACTTTATATATTAATGGATTGAGGTTAAGAAATTCAAAGCAGAGAAAGAAGAGGGGAAAAAATTAGGTATGTACACATTGAACCATAAAGCACAGTTTCTGTTGGTCACAAATGTCCTGGTCCAGCCTAATGCTATAGCTGTGATCTTTGAACAGCAAATTTGGACAAATCAATAGGGTTACCCGGACAACACCAGCTATAAAGAATTCCTGTGTGAAAGCAGACATATGAGAGGACCCCAGAAAAAAAATCCATCACCTTAGAAACTGTAGCCCAGTGGTTGGCAAACTGCTGCTCTCTAGCCACATGCGGCTCTTTGGCCCCTTGAGTGTGGCTCTTCCACAGAATACCACGGCCTGGGTAAGTCTATGTTGAAGAAGTGGCATTAGAAGAAGTTTAAGTTTACAAAAATTGGCCCTCAAAAGAAACTTCAATCATTGTACTGTTGATATTTGGCTCTGCTGACTAACGAGTTTGCCAACCACTGCTGTAGCCCAACCTGGTAGGAGCAGGTATTTCATCATCTTAGTCTCTGAAGCATAACAAAAGTATGTCCTCTAAGATAGTTAAGATACTACCAATAACAGCCCTAACAGGTTTGCTCAGTAGGTAGAGCATCAGACCTTGGATTGTAGGTCCTGGGTTCGATTCTGGTCAGGGGCATGTACCTTGGTTGCGGGCTCAATCCCCCAGTGGGGGTTGTGTGAGAGGCAGCTGATCAATGTTTCTCTCTCATCAATGCTTCTGACTCTCTATCCTTCTCCCTTCCTCTCTGTAAAAACCAATAAAATATTTTTAAAAGATACTACCATAACATAACTGCTTAAAACAGGTGCAGATACAGTTCTTTGGAAAATATCAAATGGGTTGATTCTGAAAGTATTCATTTCCAGCACTTGAACACTTTTCAAATGCTCTGTTGTTTTGTGAGTTATCTAATAATCGGCCAAGGTGGAACTTCTCACCTGTTATTGTTTGTTGTAGTTATCCCTGAAAAGTCTGTGAAGGAAGTCCTCAGAGCACCTGGTACCATCAAAGACAGAATCAAGAAGTTGCTTGCTCACAAAGACAGCATGAAAAAGAAGGTAAAAATAAAAAACAGCATAGAATCTGCTGGGACTCCTGGCCCGAAGGGTAACTTGCAGCCCTTTGACTCTGAAGAGAGTGTTTCCAGAGATGGGGACCCAGATGGAGGGAAAAGGAAGAATGAGGAGAGAGAGGAAGAGGGGCTGGAGGAAGAGAAAAGAGAGGAGACAGCCCTGAAGAACCACATGGAGCAGGAACGAAGCCTTCGGGGAGATGTGTTCTGTGAGTATCGTTTCTGTTTTTTTTACACATTTTGTGAAAAATTACTTGTGGTCTCTCTGGGACATGAAATAAGAAAAGACAGTTTCACGCATTAAGTGAAATGGGTTTGGCTCTAAGTCCTAAAAAGCAGGGTTCTCATTCAGTCTGGAAAGTAACATCTTCTGCAGATATGCAATCAAATTTGCTCCTGTGGGCAACACAACAAGAAGTCTGGGTCCTTTCCCTTACCTTGGGGGCGGGGGTCCTGCTTGACTCAGACCCTCTCATTCCACTCCCTGCAAAGACAGCCTGCTTGTCCAGCAAGCACAGTTGTCTGGCTGGCTGCCCAGACCTCCATGCAATTTAACCCCAAACAAGGGAGACGCTTACCAGATGGATCTGCCAAACCCTACATTTTTCCTTCTGGAAGGTTCCTTTTACAGGCCTACTCAGTGAAAGGAGAACTTCACAGTTGTGTGGTTATTGTTTTAAAAGCCAAAGGAGCCGAAATGGGTTTGGCTCAGTGGACAGAGCATCAGCCTGCGGACTGAAGGGTCCCGGATTCGATCCGGTCAAGGGCATGTACCTTGGTTGTGGGCACATCCCCAGTAGGGGGTGTGCAAGAGGCAGCTGATCGATGATTCTCTCTCATCGATGTTTCTGACTCTCTATCCCTCTCTCTTCCTCTCTGTAAAAAATCAATAAAATATATTTTTAAAAATAAAAAAAAATAAAAGCCAAAGGAGTCCGTTGTAGGGAAGAAAATGTTGTAAGTAGAGCATGAGCTTTAGTTTTCTCCACGCACTGGATGACGACAGAACCCACCCTAAGTCCAGCCCATACAGGACAGTTTCCCCATTAACCCTCCCTGAACCCCATACTGAGACTTCCCATCCCCTTCTCACTGGGCGTCTGTTGCTCCCTCTATATTTTGCCTTGTCTGTTCTTGGCCCCATGACCGTTGGACTTAACCATGTGAGGAGTAGACCAGGACCACCCATCCAAGAACTAGTGTGCCAGTGACAACATCACCCCTGAGAGTGAGAATCTCACCAAAGTGTATTTCCAAAACCTGGTGAGAAGGGACATGTTACTGCCCCCTACCTTGCTGCTTCTCTGTAGATTATTAAAAAAGATCTTGGATTAAGGTGATCATAATTTATTCTGAAACATTTGTCAACACATGAAAACAATGACATGCCAGATAGTTTTGGAATATGTGAATCAATATGTTAAGGAAAATAACTGTACTACTACAAACTACCATAATCTGAATATGTCAAAATAATTCCCTTTCAACTATTTAGTTTCCTATTAAATGTTCATAGGGAATATTAAATTTCTTCCAGCCAGTTATTTTTTAGAAAATAATTTTTATTGGTTTCAGAGAAGAAGGGAGAGGGAGAAAGAGGTAGAAACATCAATGATGAGACAATCATCCATAGGCTGCCTCCTGCACGCCCTCCGCTTGGGATGGAGCCCACAACCCCAGCGTGTGCCCTGACTGGGAGTCGAACCGTGACCTCCTGGTTCATATGTCGACACTCAACCACTGAGCCACACTGGCTGGGCAAGCAGTTTTTTTTTGTGTGGGTGTGGTGTGTTTTTTTTAAGAAACTCGTATTCTTTTATTTTTAAAAAATATATTTTATTGAATTTTTATAGAGAAGAAGGGAGAAAGATAGAGCCAGAAACATCGATGAGAAAGAAACATCGACCAACTGCCTCATGCACACCCCCTACTGGGGATGTGTCCACAACCAATGTACATGCCCTTGACCTGAATCAAACCTGGGACCTTTCAGTCCACAGACCGACGCTCTTATCCACTGGGCCAAACTGGTCGTGGCTTATTTTTGCTTTTTATTTCTTTAAATGGGAATTCAAGAATTTCTTCTTAAATCTTGCCCTTCTCAGCTTCACTGGGCTCTTCAGGTTCATTTAGGTGTTACAGTGACTGTTTCCTCTGAACATGGCTCACTCAGCGTGGATAACTGGCATCTGGAAAGTAAAATCTATTCCTACTACTCAATGTCAAAGCCACTTCCTGTGCAATAGGGACACATGAGTTAGTCCTCTTTAAAATCTGTTCAATGGTTTGATTATCTCATTGTTTTGAACATTTTGAAGTAATTTTTTATTCCCTCTCCGTTATCAGATCACTTTTGAAGCAAAACCTGACAAAGGCAAAACCGGAGAGATTGCTGTAGACGGTGTCATGCTGGTGTCAGGCTAATGTCCTTGGTGGCCTTTTTATCAGTGGATGCTGGGATGTTACTGTTGTCTTTTATATTCTTATATTTGACTTTTAACGTCAATTCTCTGTTTTTTGATATGATGTCATAGATGCCCCTCCATTTAAAAAATACAAACTGAAAAATTGTAATGTACCATTAGAAACATTATTGTAAGCTGCCTTTCTTGTATAGATGCATCATCACATGCTTTAAATTCATTTCTGAATTGATAAAATGTGGAAATGTCAGTTCAGCTTTTCCTCCCAATATATTTTACATTTCTACATGAATTGATGAACCTCTCTATACAACATTTCTAGAATTACCAAGAAAAAAAAAAAGCACAGATAAATGTTTAATTGTGTGACTTTTAGAGCACTTCTTGGAAACCATGACATCACAGATAGACTTACCTAAGTTGCTTAGCCTGATCTTTTATAGCCAAACTTGTATGTTTAAATTCTTTGTACTAATATCCAAATAATCACCTTGTGCCATGGTTTGTTTTTCTAAGTAAGAAAATGTGCTAATTTTATTTTATGTTGAGTTATGTGTATGATTATTTGCTTTGTGGAAATGTGGTTTTTATTCTTTTCTCTATGGAAATACTTTATTTTCTTAAAAGTACTTTCTATTATGGGAACACATGGCTGCTTATTAGGCTTCATAATTGCAATGCAAATTAGCATAATTTGTTGAATTCAAGGCCTCAGAGAACCTAAAACTAAGTTAAGCAAGTAGCAAGATTAAAAAAAAAAAAAAAAAAAAAAAGATGGATACCCTCTTTTCTATTTAATATCTTTCTTCCAAATCCAGTAACAGCTTTGTATGGTAATGAATTCTCTGAGGATGAAAGGATACTCTGCTTTAAGATTCTCAGTCACAAATATCTCCAAGATAGCTCCCAAATAGAAAGTTCTCCAGATATTTTCTTGCCTTCCCCTAAAAGCAATGAAGGCATTGGGCCATAAGAGTAAGGAAAGAGAGAAGGTGGCCCACTTATTAATCTTTAAAATTTGTAGTCTCACTCTCCAACTTTTTTTATATTGAAACTCTTGTGGGGTGGGGGGTAGAGGAACACATTATTTTTCTTTGGTGTGCAGTAATTTTGGCACACAAGGTCTACACAGGACTGTAGCTGTGTCTGTTTGAGAACTGGTAGTTATAGAAACCATCAACACAGTTTTTCTAGTGAGACCAGTTGAAAACCTGCCCCAGCTATGTCAAAGCAGCCCACAGAATTATGAGAGAGAATAAAATGGTTATTTTAAGACATTGAAATTTGGAGTGGTTTGTTACACAGCAAAAGCTAACTGTTACATGTGGTTTCAAATACTGGTGTAGAATCCGAAGAAGACTTTCTATCTATTCAGTGATCAAGGAAATTTGAGACCATAGTTGTGCCTTAGAATAAAAGATAGGGGGGAGAATTTGTAATAAAAGATAGTGTCCCAGTGATCCAGATTAAAGGAAGAGATACCCTAGCCAGTTTGACTCGGTGGATAGAGTGTCAGACTGCAGACTGATGGGTCCCAGGTTCAACTCTGGTTAAGGGCACATGCCCAGGTTGCAGGCTCAATCCCCAGTAGGGGGTGCGCAAGAGGCAGTCAATCAATGGTTCTTATCATTGATGTTTCTATTTCTCTTTCTCCCTTCCTCTCTCAAGTCAACAAAAAATATTTTTGAAATGAAGAAAGAGATGTTGAACCAAAAATGAAATAGGGAGGCCTATGAATCATGTTATGCATGGATAAAAACAATGCATAAAGCTAATATTTCATGTTTCTCTAATTTGTGTAGCAGAGACTTCTAGTTATATATTCAGTATCCATTCTCACCCTTTCCCTTACTAATGTAACCATCCTATATAATAAAAGCCTAATATGCAAATTGTCCCCTCGGGTGGTTATTGGACCAGGAGTGCCACTGCTCTCTATGACGTGCACTGACCACCAGGGGGAGGCGCAAAACATGGCAGGCGGTAGTGGAGGCGCTGCCAGCCCCAATGGGCCCCAACAAGAGTTGAGCTGTGGTGGGATGGTGGAGCAGGTGAGCGGGCAGGCCTGGGTCAAAGTGGGTGCAAGTGGGGCTCAATAGCCCCACCAATCGCCCCATAGATGGCGACCAGCTGCAGGGTCGGGGTGGTGGGGGTAGTGGAGCAGGTGAGGGGCAGAGCCAGGCCAAGGCAGGACTGCAGGGCTGCAAGGCTGGAGGCACAAGCTGGGACCCTATCTCTGCAGGCCACTCTGAGGGACCCCACCCATGCATGAATCTGTGCACTGTGTCTCTAGTATATAAATATATTTGGGGGTTAGAGGGCAATGTACTCAACTGAAGGACTTCATTTTTCAAACTCTCTTTCAGTTGGAAGAGGCCACTGAAGCATTGGTAGGCTTCCAGAAGGGATCATTAAAGAGGGCTCTCAGCTGGCAGCACACTTTTGCCATTTCTCTTCTTCCTTCTTCCTGCTTTCAATGTGGTTGTGAAGGCAGCAACTCTGAGGTACTTGGTGATCAGGAGGGCAAGGTGATAAAGGAGTGCATAGCTGGAGGAAGCCTGGGTCACTGATGACATTGTGGCATCTCTACCGCTGCTCAGACAAGTCACTGCTCAATATTTTATTAAGTGAAAGAAAAATCACCCTTTGTTTGCCTACCTAGGATTTCAAACAAAGCACAATCCATGGGACTTCCATTTGACCCAGTAATCCCACTCCTAGGAATATATCCCAAGAAACTAAAAACACCAATCAGAAAGGATATATGCACCCCAATGTTTATAGCAGCACAATCTATTGTACAATAGCTAGAATTTGGAAACAGCCTAGGTGCCCGTCAGCAGATGATTGGATCAAAAAACCATGGTACATCTGCACAATGGAATACTATGCTGCCATAAAAAAGGAATTCTCATCATTTGCAGCAACCTAGATAGAATTGGAGAACATCATGCTGAGTGAAATAAGCCAGTCAATGAAAGAGAAACATCACATGACCTCACTCATTTATGGATAATAAAGGACATTATAAACTAATGAACCAAAAGATAGATATAGAGACAGTAAAGCAATAAGCAGACTGTCAAATTACAGCGGGGAGGAGGGGGAGATCTGGGGGAGATAAGAGATCAACCTAAGGACTTGTGTACATACATATAAGTACAACCAATGGACACACAACTCTGGGGAGAGAGGGTATGTATGGGAGGGGGGAACAATGTTAAAATATGTACACAGATAATAATTTAATAAAAAAATAACCTTTACTTTGATAAAAAAAAAAATGCTTTAAAATAAAAAAAATTTAAAAAGCACAATCCAGACTCAGGTGACCACTCTCCCTGCTCCCTGGGGGCTACTTCTGCCATTTTCAACACAAGACCCTAGCCTTGGGGATTAACTTTAACTACCAACATATTGGCTCTCTCCCTTCCAGGAGCATGCCCATGCCTTTCCCTTCCCCCTCTCCCCCCATCCCTCCCTTACTCCCAAGCTCCAAGAGCCCTTCCTACCTCTATAACTTGTTTCTTAACCCCATTTCTTCTAGTAATTATTTCTTTTTTTTAAAATAATTTTTACTAATTTCAGAGAGGAAGGGAAGGGAGGGGGGGGGAGATATGATGAGAGAGAATCATTGATCGGCTGCCTCCTACACACCCTTACTGGGGATCGAGCCTGCAACCTGGGCATGTGCCCTGACCAGGAATCAGACCATGATCTCCTGGTTTATAGGTCAACACTCAACCACTGAGCTACATCCACAGGGATAGGAATTATTTCTACTTCTGTGGTTTACCAAATAAATATTCTCATACAGTTAATAAATAAAATACCAGCATATTGTTTTAAATTCCAATCAACTGTAGTGTCATGGAGCTCCAACCTGCACCACACCAAATCATACTTTGCTTCCTTTGGGGAAATCTAAGGTCAGCTAATTCAGCCATGACTCACCTATCTGTTGACCCTGGCCATGATCCAATGTCCAAACCCCCCGTGTCATCCATGCTCTCCCACTCTCTCATCCCCACACTGTTATGAGCCTCCTCTTCTGGACACTATCTCCCACTGTTTCTGCCCCTCCCCCATCACACATACTCCACAGTCTGGTGAACAAACTCTGCCACATCTTAATTCATGCTAATGATGTCTTCCTCCATCTCTCAGACTTAGCTGAACTGAGTCTCCCATAGCCACTTCTACCCCTGTAGCTTGATCATATGGCTGCCACTCATCCTCCCACAGTGCACACATATCAGGGTCTGGAGTTGAAGGTGCCATTCTCTTCGCCATACTCTTGTTTACAGTCTCTTTATTTCTTGATTTCCATGTAAAAGCCACTGTTCATTGGAGGTGCCATTAATAGCTTTACAGCCCTCTCTACTTGCTAGCCATTGTCATCAATCAATCTGTGCAAATGACTCATCCTCTTTCCTGGCCTCACAGGTCTTTGACCTCCTCTATTCCAGTTCCCATCAACCTCCTTGCTGTCACTGTCCTTTTAAAAGTCTTTCCTCATGAGTCCAAGCTACAGTCACACAGCGCTCCTGCTCAAAGTGACACTTGCCACTTGCACCATTCACTTTTGAGACTCCCTTTCTCAGAGTTCCAGCAGTGCCCCCTTGTGGCAGCCTATGAGCATATGTATGTGGTTGTCACCAGGGAAACTTAGAGCTAAAAGGACTGTCTTCAGCAACAGCCACCCACTCTCCCACCCCCATTGCTCCATTTCTCCCTATTTCAGTGTCTGGTGGACTCATGCATCTTTCTGGTTACCCAAAACCTTACCACTCAGTCACCCCTGAGATCTTGAAGAATCCAATCTTGCCCTAGCCAGTTTGGCTCAATGGATAGTGTCGGCCTGTGGCCTGAAGGGTCCCTGGGGTCCCAGGTTCAATTCTGGCCAAGGGCACATACCTGGGTTGCGAGCTCAATCCTCAGTGGGGGGTGTGCAGGAGGCAGCCCATCAATGATTCTCATAATTGATGTTTCTATCTCTTCCTTCCTCTCTGGAATGAATATATATATATTCTCCAATATTGCAGAACTTTCATTCTCTTCTATCAACTTACTGGTCCTATGTCCTGTTCTGCTAGTCTCTGACAAATGAAGGGATGCTACCTTTAAAAAATAACTTAAGTGTCAGGAATAAACAGTTGCACATATAACTTTTACTGACATTTTCTGATGGCCCTCAAATCTTCTGCTCAAAATTCACATTCTGGGGAGGGGTGTGCAGTTGGGCCAGCCTGGGTCATGTGGCTTCTCCCTGCTAGGGCAGATTGGGGTAACTAATTAGCTTTTCAGAAAGTGGGCTAAAAGCTGCTAACCCAAACCCACCGAAGTTCCCACATGGACCATATCACATAAAAGCTGGGGTTAAGTACATGCCAACATACCAGTCTAAATGATGTACCCATCATGACAAACGAATTGATGCCTTTGTTTTCATTAGCAACTAGAAATTTAGTTGATGTTTGGGTCAGTTTTGAAACTAAGAACAACAAATAAAAACTAGCATATGAGCTTGGCCAGTGTTGCTCAGTGGTTGAGCATCGACCCAAGAACCAGGAGGACACAATTCAATTCCCAGTCAGAACCCATGCCTGGGTTTTGGGCTCCATCTCCAGTGGGGGGCGTGCAGAAGGCAGCAGATCCATGATTCTCTCTCACCTTCATGTTTCTGACTCTCCCTTTCTCTCTCTGAAAGCAATAAAAACATTAAAACAAACAAACAAACAAAAAAAAAAAAACACTAGTCCTTAGGTCTTTTACACCCCTGGTTAAATTTATTCCCAGGTATTTTGTTGCTGTTAATCCTCATCCAAGGATATTTCCCCTTTGCTTTTTAGAGAGAATGGAAGCAAGGGAGAGAGACAGAGAGAAACATCAATGTGAGAGACATTTTTTGTGTGTGTGAGAGACATATTAATTGGTTGCTTCAGACACGTGCCCTGATGGGCTGGGGATTGAGCCTGCAACCGAGGTACCTGCCCTTGACCAGAATCGAACCCTCAACCCTTCAGTCCATGGGCCAACACTCTAACCACTGAGCAAACTGGCTAGGGCAATTCCCAGGTATTTTTTGTTGATGCAATTATAAATGAGATTGTTTTCTCAGTTTCCCTTTCTGATAGTTCATTATTGGTGTATGAAAATGCAAGTGATTTCTGGATATTTCTTTTGTATTCTGCTACTTGATTGAATTCATTTATCAGTTCCAGTAGGTTTTTGGTGGAGTCTTTAGGGTTCTCTGTGTACAATATCATGTCATCTGCTATCTTGTCATTTTTGATCAGTGGCCTCTGTGGCAGCACTCCCAGATTATACCATGAAAGGGGCTGAGGGTGGTGAGTACAGTTAGTCCATGAGAATGAGCCTTGAGGCTACATGGTACAAGATCAAAAGACAAGGAAGCAGCATGGAGCAGTGATTTTTAGTTCAGGTTTTATGTCTTCCTAGTCCGATGAACTGCTGAGAGCCAAAATGAAGAGGCGTTTCATGGAACAGTCCGTCCAGAATCGCTGGCAGACTGTACTCCTCCTGGTAAGAAGCCACTGGAACCAAATGAAATCCCAGTGGTAGGCTTCAGCTCAGATTTCCTAACCACAGTGCAGAAGGCAATCGAGTGGGCAGGTCTTTTAGTGGAGTTGGCATCCTTTCATCCATTTCTTTTTTTTGTGTGTACTTTTCCTATATTTTTCTGATTAAATGGAATTTTGAAGCATCCCCAGTAACCAAGTAGTATAAATATTGTTTCATTGCCTCTAAATTTCCATCCTGTGAGCTATACCAAGAAGTTATTAAAGCCAGGCTTGCTTAGCCCTTCACATGTGTTTCTCTTTGCTGTTCCAGAATTACAAGCTACACCTGAGCTGAGGGAAGGGTGAGCTTTGAATGGGATGAGTAACTGAATTTTTTACATTAGGTTAAAATGGATTTTATAATAGTAACCTAAAAACTAAGATGATTTCTTTTTTTAAATATCTTATTGATTTTTTTTTTACAGAGAGGAAGGGAGAGAGATAGAGAGTTAGAAACATCAATGAGAGAGAAACATCGATCAGCTGCCTCCTGCACACCCCCCACTGGGGATGTGCCCACAACCAAGGTACATGCCCTTGACCTGGGACCCATCAGTCTGCAGGCCGACGCTCTATCCACTGAGCCAAACTGGTCAGGGCTAAGATGATTTCTTTATACTTGAAAGGAATTGGAAAAGCCTCAAGATCCAGCCGTAGAGGAGCCATAGGAAAGGGGAATGGTGAGAGAAAAATGTTTCTTCTTCCATTCACCCTACAGAGCCCAGCCTGTGCAATAAAATTGATTTACAGATGTCTCACTTTGTTCTTGTGATAGAAACAATCTTATAGCAATCAACTTTTGAAACTAAAGTTTCTTAGGTTACATCCAGAAGGACCTGCAGTATTTCAACGGTTTTTTTAAAACTGACTTACTGCTGCTCTTCTTTATATTTTAATTTTTTTCCTAATTGCAGCCTTAGTCTTGGTCTTGTCTTCCCTTCTTCTAGGTAAGGTTTATTGCATTGCTCCTTCTTAGAATTGCCCTGCTTCCTGACAGCATGCAACCTAGAGCAAGCCCCTGCTTCCTTGAACCCTCCCCCAAATTGTCTTATAGGAGGGGTCAGCAAAGAAGGGAGCCACATTCTCTAGTTGTGCCATCGCTTTGGTTTTATTGAACCTTTGCAGGGAAGATGTGCACAGGGATTAGTGCGGGATGGTCATGGCTACATAATGAACGTCTACTCCTTTCGCATTAGCTGTTGCATGCTAGGGGTGCATTAAATACTCGTGGAATTCATCTCTGCGTTAAATGGGTAATTAACATTTTGTCCAAAGTTTTAAATTAAATCGACATTTAGCTGAGCACTGTCTTGACTGGAAGCAGCAATGGAACATGGCAGGGTAGTTCCACAAATTGCTGCTGAAAAGCAATACCCGCACCCGTTTTTCCAATCCGGGCCCCATGCTGCACTGTTGGCCCTGGGCCAGCCGCCTCCTACCGGCCCCGGGCCGCTGATCGCTGTGCGCAGGCGCCATTTCCCGAGTACGCAAGCGCTGACTCCGGGCAGTGTTTTCCAGTCCGCGGGCTTTGATTGGCTGAACCTTGGTGGTCCCGCCCTGGGAACCGGAAGTTCACTTTAGACTCGGAGGCCACGGAGGGCTCTGCGCTCAGCCGGCTCTTCTAGGTGAGCCACGCCCGGGGAGTCCGGGTGCGCGGGCGGGGCAGGCCCGCACGTTCCTTTGTCCCCTCCGCCCCCAGGGCGGCAGATCCCTCGGGGCCGCCCCTGCTTGTGTTGGGTGCCAGGCTGTCACCCCAGAACGGTTTGCTGCAGGCTTTGCTTGTCGTTGCACCCCACCCGCTGGAACCCAAACCCGGGCCAGAGCCGGCCCTTGGGTCGTCCCTTCCATTCATTCGCTGGCCCTGCACCTTTGCTGGGGAGGCCCCTAACGCAGTACTGACAGTTCAGAAACCAAGCAGCCCCCAAGGACATTGGGCATGTCTCTCCTGAGGAAGGGGCTCCCTGTGTAGCTGGATGAGATCTTAGATCTAAAGTTCTCAGCAGATCTAAGTTACTGCTAATCTGTAAACTTTTGGAAAATTTTCTCTGGCCTTCCACTCTTTGGGGTTTAGGCCAAATGCGTGCACCTGCACCTACTGTAGTTACCAATGACAAGCTCTTATATGCATACTCTTCCTGGCGCTATATACATCTGTTTTTGGTATGTATTCAGAAACTAGAGGTATAGGTATGTATCTAAGCATTATCTGTATTAGCATATGTTCTACAACTGATATCCACCAGCTACATAGACAATTGAGTACTTGAAATGTGCCTGGTCCGAATTGAGTTGTGCAGTAAGCATAAAACAGCGAAGTTTTTGAGAATTAGTATGAAAAATATAAAGTAGCTCAATCTTTTTTTTAACATCACATGTTAAAGTAGCAGTATTTTTGGATAAACTGGGTTAAGTAAAATGTATTATTAATTTCACCTGTCTGGGTTTTTTTTAATTATTATTGATTTTAGAGAGGAAGGGAGAGGGAGGGAGAGCTAGAAACATCGATGATGAGAGATAATAATTGATCGGCTGCCTCTTGCAAGCCCCACATTGCAAGGACCCAGCCTGTAACCAGGCATGTGCCATGACCTCCAGGTTCATAGGTCGATGCTCAATCACTGAGCAACACCAGCTGGGCTCACCTGTCTGTTTAACATAGCTGCTAGACAATTTTAAATCCTATCTGTGGCCGGGACCGGTTTGGCTCAGTGGATAGAGCGTCGGCCTGCGGACTGAAAGGTCCCGGGTTCGATTCCGGTCAAGGGCACGTACCTTGGTTGCGGGCACATCCCCAGTGTGGGGTGTGCAAGAGGCAGCTGGTCGATGTTTCTCTCTCATCGACGTTTCTAACTCTCTGTCCCTCTCAATTCCTCTCTGTGTAAAATCAATAAAAATATATTTAAACAAAAAGAAATCCTATCTGTGGCTTGCATTATGTTCCTATTGGACAGCAATGTTCTAGAAAGGAGTCAGCAAACTGGGACCTGCAGCTGAGTCCAGCCCGCCTGCTTCTGGAAAAAAGATTGGCTGGAGCAAAGCCACGCTCATTCATTCAGGCACTGGCAATGCTGTTGTTTGTGCTGCAAGCACAGCAGAGTTTGAGTCGTGCATACTGAGATCGGACGGCCTGCGAGGCCTAAAATATCTGTTGTTTGGCCTTTTAAAGAAAAAGTTTGCCAACCCCCTGTTCTAGAACAGTGCCTGGTATTACGGTAGCTATACGTAAAGCTCTTCATTGTAGTCCTGTGTAATTGCACTCAGGCTTACTGTATGACACAGTGGTTCTAAGGATGTTATAAGGACTATGTCGTTTAATTCTCTTATTAATCCTAGGATGTTGGATTTCCCCTATTTTGTAGATGAGGAAAATGAGGCACAGAATGGTCATGAAGCTTACCCAGCATGCTCAACATACCTCATTTCCAGGAACTGTGCCTTCTTGAACCTCCTTATCCCACATGGCTTGACTCCTGGACCCCACTTGATTAGCCTGCAGTAGACACCATGTTTCTTTTTGTTTTTAACTAGAATTCTGTTAATGATTATTTTTTTATTTTTTTATTCACTCATTCATTCATTTTAAACCCATGTTATTAATTTTCACCTGTGGATATTTTCCTATTGATTCTTTAGAGAGAGTGGAAAGGAAGAGGAAGAGACAGAGGGAAGGGCTCGAGCCTGCAACCGAGGTATGTGCCCCTGATCAGAATTGAACCCAGGATCCATAAGTCCTCAGGCCAACGTTCTTCCCACCGAGCCAAAACAGCTAGGGCTGTTAATGATTTTTTTATACTAAAATTGAGATGAGATTAGTCTCTTGTGGAAGAAGCTGAGGGGCCCTGGGCTCAGGTGCCATGGGTACCAGCAGGTGAGCTGTATGAAAAGAGTGAAGCTCACAAGCAGAGGGGTCAGAGCCTCCTGGTTGTAACAAAAAGCGTTTGTTGAGGAATTCTGAGCATTGGCCAGGGGTTTGCCCAGTGTGTGTCAGGGAGTGAAACACGTCATTCTTAGGGTCTTGCAGGGGAGACAGACAACAAAGAAAATTTAATGTGATAAGCAGCATGAAAAAATCTGCAAATACCTGATGTTTTTAACAGGTTTCCTCATCTGTAAGATGGAGAGAAGCCTGTATCCCTTATTGTGAGGATGGAGAGGACATGAGTGAACGGCAGGTGGAATTGCTCAGTAAATATGCATTGCCTTCTGCTGCTACGTGGTAAGAGGAAATGAATACGGGAATTGGGTGCACCCTGGCACCTAAAACAGGGCAGTCACCACGTGTAATTTATAGAGAATGTTCTCGATTCTTTGTGCCCAGCAGATGTTTTCAATATTTCCTGATTTAATGGGGCTCATCTAGAAAAAGCGCAGTCAGAGAGGTTCCCTGCATTCAGTCTAGGAGCAGGACGGGGTGTTGATAGCAGCGACCCTGGGACATTCCTGCTGCGGGCAGGGGTTATGCCTGTGCAGTGGCAGCAGCTCTGGTTTCAATCAGAATCGCTGGAGAGCTGACAGAATCCCCAGGCCTGCCTTCGGAGATTCTAATTTATTACGATATCATTCTATCCCACAAGGGCCTGGCGTTGATGTGTTTGCTGCTGACTTTCTCCAGATGGTTCGGATTTGAGTGAGGATTGAGAACTGCTCATGGTGAGTGATGCAGGCCAGGCTCAGGGAGCTGCTGGAGCAAAGGCCCGGAGCTGGGAAGCTGGCCGTGCTTTCGGTCGGTGGGTCAGCTGGGCACGGGGAGGGCTTAGGGGGGCTAGAAGGGGGGTTTTCGTAACCTGGCCAAGGACCTTGGTTCCATCCTGAGAGCAGAAGGGAATCCCTGTAGGGCTCTAAGCGGGAGAAGGAGGGGATATCTTGGTAAGATATGTTCAACCTTTCTAATGCCGCGGCCCTTTATACAGCTCCTCCCGTTGTGGTAACCCCAACCATAAAATTGTTTTCGTTGCTACTTCATAACTGTCATTTTGCTACTGTTATGAATAGTAATGTAAATATGTGTTTTCCGATGGTCTTAGGCTCTACAGCAGCGGTTCTCAACCTGTGGGTTGCAACTGTAGAGCCTAAGACCATTGTTAAGTCTCGACCCACGGGTAGAGCCTAAGACCATCGTTAAGTGGCGACCCACAGGGTCACCTAAGACCAGTGTTCGGCAAACTCATTAGTCAACAGAGCCAAATAGCAACAGTACGACGATTGAAATTTCTCTTGAGAGCCAAATGTTTTAAACTTAAACTTCTTCTAATGCCACTTCAAAATAGACTCACCCAGGCCGTGGTATTTTGTGGAAGAGCCACACTCAAGGGGCCAAAGAGCTGCATGTGGCTTGTGAGCTGTAGTTTGCCGACCACGGCCCTAGGGTAATAAGTGCTTTATATTCACCTGATTGTCTGGGGGAAGGGGAATTGGGGGAGTAGAAAGTTTGACAGGATTTAAATACTGTTAAAAAGATGGAGAACCCTAGCCAGTTTGGCTCAGTAGATAGAGTGTCAGCCTTCGGACTGAAGGGTCCCCGGGTCGATTCCAGTCAGGGGCACATGCCCAGGCTGCAGTCTGGAACCCTAGTAGAGGGCCAAGAGGAGGCAGCAGATCAATGATTCTCTCTCATTATTTATGTTTGTCTCTCTTACCCTCTGTCTTCCTCTCTGAAATCAATAAAAAATACATTTTTTTAAAAAAAATGGAGAATGGAAAACAGTATGGCAGATCCTTGAAAAATTAAAAATAGAATTACCAGGTGATCCAGCAATTCCAACTCTGGGTATATACCCAAAGAATTGAAAGCAGGGCCTCGAAGAGGTATTTGTACTCCCCTGTGTTCATAGCATCTCTATTCACAAGAGCCAAAAGGTGGAGGCAACCCAAGTATCTATGAATAAATAAATGGATAAGCAAAATGTGGCCTCTGTACTCAATGGAATATTTTTCAGCCTTAAAAAGGAAAGAAATCCTGGCACATGCTGCAACATGGATCAACCTTGATGATATTATGCTAAGTGAAATAAGCCAGTCATAAAAAGACAAATACTGTATGATTCACCTTATATGAGGTATATAAAGTAGTGAAATTCCTAGATATAGGAAGTAGAATGATGGTTTCCCAGAGCTGCAGGGAAGGGGGAGAGAAAGGAATGGGGTGTTAGTGTTTAAGGGCACAGAGTTTGTTTTGCAAGATGAAGAAAAGGTTCCAGAGGTTGGTTGCACAACACTGAATGCACTTAACACCTCTGAACTGGAGACTCTAAATGGGTTCAGATGGCACATTTTGTGGTCTGTAATTTACCACAATTAAAAATAGAAAATGAATAAATATGGAGGAGAGCTAAATAGAGAGACATATGGAACGAAGAGCAAAGTGCCTACACATGAATGCATTCACTTCTGTAGGTTTATGTGAGTAAGGGACAAGTTTTGCTGGGATGCCAGACTGTGCTCTCATGGCACTGACGCCCTGAAGCTGCAGTTGAATTCCCCTTGAGAGTCTCCTTGAGATTCTGACCCTTTGTTGAGAAATTCTGACCTGAGTTAAATATTGCCTAATTGCCATGAGGGCACTGTAGACCTGTCTCTTATTAACCACCTTGCTAACCTCCAGCTAATTTCCATCCTGATTTCTTTGGTGTTCATGCATATAGAGTGAATATAGAAGGCAGGCAGGATGAATATTTCTTCTTGCTTAGGAAACTTTCCAGCAAGTGGGGGAGGGCTTGAGATCTCATCATCATGACGTGGCTGCTTGACTTCCTCCAGATCCCAAGGTGTCAGGCGGACAGTTTTGAGACAAATATCCAACAATTGAGGGTGTGTATTTTTTATTTTTCTGGGCTGTATTGCCTGTTCTTTGTTTACTGAGCCTTTGCTTTTGGGGGAAGTGGAATCTTAAAAAAGGACAAGTAGTGGCCGTGAAGTATTGAATGGGTAATTAGAAAAATAGGCATTTAAGATCCTGAATTGATGGCCCATTTCATGACTATTAAATGACTAGGGGGGAAAACACACACACAAAACTGCCAAGGTTGTCTACATTCTGGTGGTAAAAATGCAAGACTCGGGAATCTTGAACAGGGAAACACCAAAAGGAACCTCATAGTTGTGGGCAAGAGTACTTAATGTTTTAAAGGGTACTTAATTCTTATATTTGGTGGTAAAGTTTGAGGGGAGAGTCAACTGTTAGGATCAGGGTAGACTCCTGAGGAAACTATGAATGCTAATCTGAATGCAAAGCCATGTTGATGGAGCATCTTCAAGGTATTCCAATTCCAGAGGGAAGGTTGGTTGGCCCACTTACATGGCCAATTTTCAGTAGACTCACATATATTTTTAAAATATTTTTCAAAATATATATATTTATTGATTTCAGAGAGAAAGGGAGAGGGAGAGAGAGAGAGAAACATCCATGATGAGAGAGAATCATTGATTGGTTGCCTCCTGCACACCCCTATTGGGGAATAGAGCCTGAAACCCAGGCATGTGCCCTGACCAGGGATCTAACCGTAACCTCCTGGTTCATAGGTCAACACTCAACCACTGAGCCACCCCAACAGGGCTAGACACATATCTTAAATGTATAGAGAGTTTATCATGAAATTATATTTGACTAATAACTTTTGTGATTATGAAAATAATACATAGTCATTATAGAAAACCCAAAAAGAGGAAGAGAACAAACAAAATCACCTAAATCTTGCCGTTGAGAAAATCCCAGTCTAAAATTTTTGTGTATATATTTTCAGCCTTTTCACATGTGAGTTTTGAGTAAAATTTGGTTCAGACTCTATATGTTGTTTTTAAATAACAGCTTTATTCAGATATAATTTATGTACCATACAATTTCCCTATTTGGCATGTACACCTCAGTGTACAAGATGAAAAGCATTCTAGAGGTTGGTTGCACAACACAGGATGAACTCGACATTACTGAACTCACCACTTGAAATGGGTTAAGAAGGTTAATTATAATGATATGTGTGGGTTTTAGTATATAGATGGTTGCACAACTTTGTCACCACAATCACCTTTAGAGAAGATTTTTCCACCTACCCCAAGAAAAACACCATTAACAGCCACTCCCCTTCTCATTCCACCCACTGTTGCCCCCACCCCCCAGCTCTAGCCAACCACCAGTTTCCTTTGTGTCTCTATGAATTTGTCTTATTCTGGACATTTCGTACAAATGGAACCATACAAGATGTGATCCTCTGTGCCTTTAACATAGCGTAGTGTTTTCAAGGGTCATCCATATTGTAGTGTGTATCAGAATCTCATTTCTTTTTCATATATTTTTATTGATTTCAGAGAGGAACTGAGAGAGAGACAGAGACAGAGAAACAACAATTGTAACAGAAAATCATTGATTGGCAGCCTCCTGCACATTCCACACTGGGAATTGAGCTCACAACCTGGGCATGTGCCCTGACCAGGATTTGAACTGTAACCTTCTGGTTCATAGGTGGACGCTCAACCACTGAGCCATACCAGCCAGGCAGAATCTCATTTCTTTGTATTGCCAAATATAATTCCATTATATGGATGTACTTCATTTTGTGTATTCATCCATCAGTTGATGGACATTTGGGTTGTTCCTACTCTTTGTCTGTTATGAATCACTAGAGGCCCAGTGCATGGAATTCGTGCACAGGTAGGGTCCCTAGTGGCTGCTGGCTGGGGCCTCCCTTCCTGTGGTTGACCAGTTGGTCCTGCCTGATTAGGGGGTCCAATCATGGCCAGAGCCAGCAGGGGCGGGGGATCTGCAGGTGGTTGGTGGGCTGGCCCCACCCTCTGGTCAAACTCCTGGTTGAGGGGACAATTTGCATATTAGGCTTTTATTGTGTAGGATGCTGCTATGAACATTCATATTTAACCATTTGGGACCTTCTCGTTGCTTAGTTTGAAGAAAATTATTAGATATCCAGCCTCCACATCTCTCATTTCCTTAAAGTAATTTATAGAAGTAGATTTGCTGTCCAAAAGGACATTACATGTCACAGCACTTGTCAGATGGTTTCTAGGAAGACTACATTCATTCTCTGTAATCGCTTCAGTGTTATTAGCCTGTGTATGTTCAGTGATGGTCATTTAATACCAATTGCTATAAAATAGTAATCCATGAATGTTTTTATTGATTTGTTCTTACAGAGAGGAAGGGAGAGAGAGTTAGAAACATTGATGAGAGAGAAACACCTATCAGCTGCCTCCTGCATGCCCCCTACTGGGGATTGAGCCTGCAAACAAGGTACATGCCCTTGACCAGAATTGAACTGAGGCCGACACTCTATCCACTGAGCCAAACCAGTCAGGGAGGAATCCATGAATTTTTTAAAAGGGTCCTTGCCTTCAAGGTGCTTATGTTCACATTTAGCCAAATAGGCAGATCTACGTAGATCCACAAGTGTCATGTAGGCAAGATGGTGTACATTATGTGGAGACAAACATAGACTGGTGAGGTCGAGTACACATTTGCCTGCCCAGGATGAGATTCACTCAGATATAATCAGCAAGCAACTTTTTACACCTAAAAGTAAAAAAAAAAAAAAAAAAAAAGCCAAAACCGGTTTGGCTCAGTGGATAGAGCGTCGGTCTGCAGACTGAAAGGTCCCAGGTTCGATTCCGGTCAAGGGCATGTACCCTGGTTGTGGGAACATCCCCTGTAGGGGGTGTGCAGGAGGCAACTGGTCGATGTTTCTCTCTCATCGATGTTTCTAACTCTCTGTCCCTCTCTCTTCCTCTCTGTAAAAAAATCAATAAAATATTTTTTTAAAAATAATATTAATAAATAAATTTTAAAAAGTAAAAAAAAAAAAAAGAAAAGAAAAAAGTTAACAGAGCCTAACTCCAGCCTAAGGACCAGTTAGTCCAATGTCATAAATCCTATGGATCGCTTACTCTAAACCAGTGGTCGGTAAACTCATTAGTCACCAGAGCCAAATATCAACAGTATGATAGAAATTTCTTTGGAGAGCCACATTTTTTAACCTTAAACTATATAGGTAGGTATATTGTTATTAACTTAATTAGGGTACTCCTAAGCTGGCCTTTGCTAAAAACTCAAGGGGCCAAAGAGCCGCATGTGGCTCCCGAGCCACAGTTTGCTAAACACTGGTCTAAACCTTTACCCGTTGTTCAGAAGACTCAGATGTCAGCACAGGAGGGCCCATCAGACCTGGCTCTGGCTGCCTCCCCACCTGTGTTAGCTCATGACTTCTTTAGATTCTTTGGGACATCTTTTTCCCTGTTTCTCATTTTGTTATATTCAGAAAAGTACCATGTAAAGATTATAAAATTAGCCTGGCCACCATGGCTCAGTGGTTGAGCGTCGACCTATGAACCAGGAGGTCACGGTTCGATTCCTGGTCAGGGCACAAGCCCAGGTTGTGGGCTCAACCCCCAGTGCGGGGCATGCAGGAGGCAGCCAATCAGTGATTCTCATCATTGATGTTTCTGTCTTTCTCCCTCTCCCTTCCTCTCTGAAATCAATACAAATATTTTTTTAATTTCTAAAAAAAAAAAAAAAAAAAAAAAAAAAAAAAATTATAAAATGAGCAAGTAGTTCCCTTATACAGCTGAATATGGGAAGAAGTTTCCAGACTTGCTCAGCCATACCCTGTTGATGTTGACACTGGCATGATTTCATCCCCAGCATGACCTCCAGGTTCCATGCACAGGAAGTGACAAATCTTGATTCGGGAAGCTCACTGATTTGTAAAATTAGAGGTGGCGAAAGTTATAGCAGATCTTTCCGCAGCCATTCATGCAGAAGCTGTTTACAGTGCTGCTTTAAGAAAAAACAAACAACTGAGAATCAAACTTTTTAAACTAAACCATGCCACGCTGCAGATCCCTTTTTCTAACATGCCACACCCATTTTTATTACCCAACTCCTTTAGCAAACACCACATAGGTCACTGGCAGAAAGTGCCACGCTACTATCAGGGAGCTGTGATTGGCAAACACAAATGGAAAACTCTTTTCTTTGCAGCTGTGAAAATGTCTGCCTGGGCCCAGCTAGCTGCCGGAGCTTCCCTTATTGAGCAATTGGTGTCTGAAGGGAACTTTGAGGAGCTTGGCAACCACCTGATGGAGCTAGAGACTCTGCACGTGACCAAGGAGCATCTCCCGCAGACAGATGTGGTCAGGGCTGTGTACTGTGTCCTCAAAAACTGCCCCAACGTGACTTTGAAGAAGAAAGCCAAGCATCTGCTGTCAAAATGGAAAGTTGCGTATCAGGAACCTTCTTTCAAACCCAGGGACAGCCCCACATTCTTCCCTGAGGGTGGAGAGGCCAAAACTTCAGGACTTTCTTATGGCTCACGTCCAGATGAGACAGTGGGAGGCCCCGGTTCTGATTCTCTGCCATCTTCCCAAGATGCTATAGCAAAAGCCATTGCAATGATTGTGCCTGAAAATAGCCCTAGTGAAATGGAACGTAAGGAAGAGCATGGCAAGGGTGGCGACCCTCAATCCACTGAGCAGAGATCAAGTGAGTTGCCACATCCCGCAGTGCCCGTGAGAACGAAATGCACAGAGCTTCTGTATGAAGCTTTAGCTAGCTCTTCCACAGATGAGCCCAAAGCTGAGCTGTGGCAGAACTTTGCAAGAGAGATTGAAGAGCATGTGTTCACCCTGTATCCAAAGAACCTCAAAAGATATAAAAGTTGTATCAGAAGCAAAGTGGCCAATCTGAAGAACCCCAAAAATTCTCACTTGCAACAAGACTTGCTCTCTGGGACCATGTCGCCAAGGGAGTTTGCCGAAATGACCGTCATGGACATGGCAAGCAAGGAGTTGAAACAGCTGAGAGCTTTGTACACGGAGTCTGGCATCCAGGAGCATTGCCTTCCGCAAGCGATGGAGGGCACCCAGACGGAGAAAATCAAATGCAGGCGCTGTGAGAAGTTCAATTGCAAGGTCACTGTGATTGACAGAGGAGCACTGTTCCTCCCGAGTTGGGTGCGGAATTCAACCCCAGATGAACAAATGATGACCTATGTAATCTGTAATGAATGTGGCGAACAGTGGTACCATAGCAACTGGGTGTGCTTGTAATTGTAAATAAGTGCTCTGGGCCTGGCCCATATCCTAAATGTATATAGATTTTGCCAGGAATTGATATTAGACTAATAACTTGACGATTATGAAAATCAGGAAAGAGTAAGAGGACAAACAAAAATCACCTAAATCTTGCCATTCAGGAAATCCCAGTCTAAAATGTTGTGTATCTATTTTGGGCCTTTTCACGTGTGATTAAGTAAAGTATATGACTTTTTAAATAACAGCTTTATTCAGTTGGTTGGGCATCTTCTTGGATTCCCTGCCAGGGCACTTGCCCGGGTTGTGGGCTCTGTCCCTGGTAGGGGGCATGCATGCAGGAAGCAGCCAATTGATGTTTCACTCTCACATCGATGTGTCTCTTTCCCTCTCCCTCCCTTTGTCTCCCTTTTCACGGCTCTCTCAAAATTAATAAAATTATTTTTTTTAAGTAAAATAAATAAAGGTTCTGAACAACAGATAACTGGAGTGAAACTTTTTATTTATATCACCCTTTTATGCTTGTTTTTAAAACCCTATACAATCCTAAGAAGCCCAGTTTGTCTAGCTCAGTAGTTGAGTATCAACCTATGAACCCATAAGTCAGTCAGGGCACATGTCCAGGCTTCAGGCTCGGTCATACAGGAGGCAGCCAAACAATGATTCTTTCTCATCATTGATGTTTGTATCTTTCCCCCGCCCTCTCTGAAATCAATAAAAAATATATTTTAAAAACCCTAAGAAAGTCGTTTGCTGAAGTCCACACCATTATCACTAAAAGTTGATCCTGTCCAAAATAGTTTGAGAAGCACTAGTTGAGCAATAGGCCAGTAGTTATCAACAGTGGTTGCATATTGGAATCACAGGGGAACTTTGAAACTCCACCGAAGCTAAGAGCCAACCATAGACCAGTGGTCGGCAAACTCAATAGTCAACAGAGCCAAATATCAGCAGGACAACGATTGAAATTTCTTTGGAGAGCCAAATTTTTTAAACTTCTTCTAATGCCACTTCTTCAAAATAGACTCACCCAGGCTGTGGTATTTTGTGGAAGAGCCACATGTGGCTCACGAGCCGAAGTTTGCCGACCACGGCTCTAGAACAATCACATTTGAATTTGTGGGCTGCAACCCAGGTATCAACATTTCCTTTTTAATTTCTTTTTTTCTAAATACGTTTTATTGATTTTTAGAGAGGAAAGGAGAGGGATTGAGAGAGAAAAACATCAATAGGCTGCCTCTTGCACGCCCCTACTGGGAATCGAGCCTGCAACCCAGGCATGTGCCTTGACCGGAAATGGCACCAGTGACCTCTTGGTTCCTGGGATGATGCTCAACCTCTGAGCCACAGGGGCCAGGCTCCTTTTTAATTTCTCAAGTTATTTTGAGACGCTGTCAGAGTTGAGAACTGCTCATACCTAGGCTCTCACTTGACCCTTTTCACGGCTCTAAGCAAAGACTGTTGTTCTGTTTACTTTATAGGTGATGAAACAGGTCCACAGAGGGGCTGTGACTTGCCCAAGCTACACAGCACAGATAGCCCAACTCGAGCTGCTCCCAGATTTTCTTCCTCCAAATTCACTGTAAGCAACTGCTTCAATATGACTTTTTTTTTTTAATCCTCAACCAAAGAACATGTTTTTCATTGCATTATATAGAGAGAGGAAAGTAGAGGGAGAGAGAAAAAAACATTGATGTGAGAGAGAAACATCAATCGGTTGCCTCCCATATGCACCACCACCAGGCATCGAACCCACAACCCGGGTATGTGCCCTGACCAGGCATTAAATCTGCAGCCCTTCTGTGCAGTAAACGAAGCTCCAACCAACTGAGCCACACCGGCCAGGTTACTTTGACTTCTGAGAAATGTGTTCCCAGATTTGCAGGACTAAATAGTGCCTTTAGGGGTGTCGAACTCAATCAGAGAAGGGGCCAAAATCTAAAATCCAGCCTAAATCGCGGGCCGAATGGTTTACTGAACAGTCATAAACTGTCATTGTGATGGAAACGCAGCAGAGTGCAGTGATGACAGCGCGGTGCGGGCCACATTGCAAGGCCTGGCGGGACGGATTTGGCCCGCGGGCCTTGTGTTTGACACATGTGCTTTAGGCTCTAACATTGTGTAACTAGAGCTTTGTTATTTTCCCCTCTCTTTTCTCAGTTTACAGGTCTCCCTTAAGCCATGAAAGTTACCCTATAACCCTACAGTGTTTTATTTTGAGTCCTTGATTCGTTGAAGGAGTTATGGGGGTTTTTCTTTGCAAAGTTCTCCAGGTGTGTAAACTCTTCAACCATGACATGTAGTTTCTAATGCTAGGGAGTCTTCATGTTCTCAAGGGCATGTGTTTTAGGTCTGTATGGAGAAGACAAAGTGTTACAGAAAACCGGAGAAGAACCAAGCAATACTTAGAGAGATGGAGTTACATTTATTACACGCTGGTCCAAAGGAAAATGTCTCTCAAATTCTGGGCCCTAACATGCAGGAACTTTCCCTATTTATATGTTTTTACCTTCTTTGTCTCCCAAATAGGGGGTATTTCTGGCCCCTTTTGCAAGTTCTTAAAGAGCCCGTATGTGCTGGGCCTTGAGACCTCAACCAGAGGCCTGGCCTAGCACCAGCACTGATAACCTTGTCTGGGGAAGGTGTAATGGCCTCTCTGAAGTGGGAGTAGTCTTATTTTCCTTATTATTTAAGCAAGCGAGCATTTACAGAAGCCAAATAGCAGGGTTAAAATTTCAAACAGCAGTTTTTATATAAGATGGATGCTTCAGACAAAGCACCTGGGAGGCTGCAAATTAGACTGAAAAAGACAGATTAACCTGAGAAAGCCAATTTATTACCACTTGCTACATGATACAGAAGAAACTCAGTGATTAGGAACTCAAAAGGATGGTTAGAACTTGGGCTTATATGGCATTTTAACAAAGAACAAGAAATTTGTAGATAAGACAAAGGAAAGTAAATCTAAGGAGAACCTATTGGGAGGTAGTGGTTATTTAGTCGTTTGTTTGGTAGTCTCAGTGCCATCTCGTCTCCAGCGATAAGGTTGTTACCCGCTTCCTGGTACAAAATTTGTGAGGGGAATTTCTGTTCTGCTTTCAGGGAGAGCAGGAAGCTCGTCCTCTGTCTGCTTTTTCTCATTTGCTTTCAGATCAGAATGATCCTTCTATCAGGATGGCATATCCTGGGGTGGCATACTCTGAACCCCTCTAGGTCTGAAGTTCCACATCTTTTTAAAAAAAAAAAAATATATATATATATATATTTTATTGATTTTTTTTTTTTTACAGAGGGGAAGGTAAAGGGATAGAGAGTTAGAAACATCGATGAGAGAGAAGCATCCATCAGCCGCCTCCTGCACACCTCCTACATCTACTTACGTAAAAACAGGAGTTAGTCAGAGGAAGGCCATTGCTTCAGCCTTTGACTCTCCCAGCAGTTCTCTAAAAGATGAATTGAAAAGGAAAGGACTTCTTTGAGGCCTGGCAAGCAGTGTTTAAGCAAGTGGTGTAATTGTTTAAACACAACCAGCCTTCTGTGTGGTGGCAGCTGATTTTTTTCTCTTTTAAACATTCATAGAGGCCATGCTGGTGTGGCTCAATGGTTTAGTACTGACCCCATGAACCAGGAGGTCACGGTTTGATTCCTGGTCAGGGCATGTGTCCAGGTTGCAGGCTCGACCCCCCAGTGTGGGGCGTGCAGGAGGCAGCCGGTCTATGATTCTCATCACTAATGTTTCTCTTTCCCTCTCCCTTCCTCTCTCTCTGAAATCAATAAAACATACTTTATTTTTAAAATATACTTTATTGATTTTTTTTACAGAGAGGGAGGGAGAGGGATAGAGAGTTAGAAACATCGATGAGAAACATTGATCAGCTGCCAATTGCACACCCAAGATGCATGCCCTTGACCAGAATAGAACCTGGGACCTTTCATTTAAAAAAAAAAAAAAATATATATATATATATATATATATATATATATATATATATATATATATATATATATTTATTATTGGCTTTTTACAGAGAGGAAGAGAGAGAGATAGACAGAAACATCAATGAGAGAGAATCAATGATCAGCTGCCTCTTGCACACCCCCTACTGGGGATGTGCCCGCAACCATGGTACATGCCCTTGACCGGAATCGAACCCGGAACCTTTCAGTCCACAGGTCGACGCTCTATCCACTGAGCCAAACCAGTTACGGCAATAAAACATGCTTTAAAATAAATATACATAGAATGTTAATTGTAATAGCTTTCAACAAGTTTACTTCTGAAAAATAAAAGAGTACAAGTTTACTGCTGAGTTATCTGCCAACCAGATGACCTACACATTTTCTTAAGTTCTTTTTTCCTAACTTGTTTAGCTTGCTCTCCCAGACCCTGAAGGCCGCAGCCCACGTACAGTTTACCTGCCTCACAGAATTCCCCCAAAGGTGCTCAGCACTAAAATACCTTTGTGTTTCAAATGGTTTTGAAGAAATCGCTTGAAACCATCGAGTGTGAATTCTGTTTTGGTCCCTTTTTTCCCTGTGACTTCCCAGAATTGCTTATTGTGATGTGGCATATTAGGCTTTTAAAGAGAAACTTGCAAAGTCACCTCAAACTTCAAGTTTCACAAAGCGTGGTTTCATGTGACTTGGAATGGTCTTAAAGATTATTCAGTGGTATGAAAGAGCACAGGACGTGAAACCCAAGTGTGATTAGTTCGTGGCGCTCTGCTTTTTGGTTGGGGTTTGTTTTTAGTGTGTGTGTTTTGGGGGTTTGGGGATTTTTTTGTGGGTAGTTTTTATTTATACTGGAATTTTGCAACCTCAATTTGCAGACAAAAACACCTGAAATGGAAATTCCTTTACTCTCCAAGACATAAAAATCTGGCTAGTCTTCCCCATTTTGTATTAACTGTGTTAGTGACTTTTGCAACTAGAGTAGGGAAAATAGTAATCTGGGTTTTTGCTTTAAATAGCATTATGTTTTCTAAGCATAGGTTAGCATTTTTTCACATCCTATATCTTATTCCCTAAAAATAGAGGGTTTTTTTTTAATTTGTTTGTTTGTTTTGTTGATCCTCACCAGAGGCTATTTTCCCATTGATTTTTAGGGAGATTGGAAGAGAAAGAGAAAGAGAGAAGCATAGATGTAAGAAAAACATGTCAATTGGTTGCCTCCTGCATGAGTCCCGACCAGGATCAGAACTGGGGAGGAGCCTACAACCAAGGTATGTGCCCTTGACTGGAACCGAACCTGGGACCCTTTGGTCTGCAGGCTGACACTCTATCCACTGAGCCAAACTGGCCAGGGCAAAGGTGTTTTTTGT